TTTCAATTTTGTTGATAATTGTCTCTTTTATTGTGATTTTTTCCTTGAACAAATAAAGACTTTCTATTACTGTTGAATATTTAATGTATATATTCATCAATTGTCTCTGTAGTATAAATATAATGTCAAATAGGGATGATCTATCACACCATTTCTTTACAATTATCGCAAGTTCATTGGGCCATAATGATCGTTTGGCGAGTTCTAAAATGATCTCTTTGTTAGCATCTATTCATTGGGCCGTAATATTCGTTTGGTGAGTTCTAAAACTAAATATAGAGTACATAATATTCCTTATGAGAGTTATATTTTTTTTATAGTTGATCCCAATAATTTTTGTGCAACGTTTAGGACACGACCTTACTGATGCAGTACGTTTGATTGGTTATAATGGAATTATCTGCAGCATACAACTCGAAAGAGTTGATGATAACATATATCTTGCTACTGGATGACCACAGTTTTTTGACCACTATAATTTGTAAGATGGTTATGTTATTGTCTTTGAATACAACGAAAATTCTACTTTCGATGTTTCGATATTTGATCGTTCAAGCGTAGAAGTAACGTATGAGTCTGAAGGATTTGAGGTAGAGCTTTCACATTGTGGTAATCCTATTTTCTGAGTAACATTAGAGGCTGCTCGCGATGGTCATAGAATAATTGTGAGCTCCTATTTTACTGGAATCTCTTCTACTTTTATCTTTCTCAAACTACACGCATGAAACATTTCATATTTGTTTTTCTCATCTAATTCAAAATTTCACAACTTATAGATTTGTCATTCTATTTTGTAGTATGTACCTGGGGCCTTCGCTCGATTGTATCTACCAAAATTTGTTCAAAGTGTTCAAATCCATGATAGTTCACATGATAATTGGTCAGTACGAACGAATCTAAGAATCAATGGTTATGTGCAGCGTTTCACCGTTGGTTGGTCGGAATATGTGAGGGAGAAACAGCTTCAAATAGGTGACACATGTATATTTGAACTTATGGATGCTGAAATCCCAATGTTTGTGGTTTACAAACTGTGTCGCACTGATGGAAGTTTCACTCTTATATAAATTTTACATCTTCATTCGAGTTTTCATGTTTGCTTATTATGGAACATCTGTTCTGTTCTCTTATATATGAACACTATATAACTAGATTCATTGGGATTTTAACTTATAATTCGCTTGTATTCTTCTAACTTTAAGATTGCACCCAATTTGTAAACTCTGTTCATTCTAAATAGGTTGTAACAAAAATATGATTTAATTACTTATAATTAACATATATGTTGCTATCCTACATTTGGACTTTATGCAATACTACATCATAATCATTTGAAGACTGGCATCCTTCTAGCTAAATTTATTCCAAGTAAATAAACAATTTTATAATTTGTAATTTTATAAACAATATACAAAATCATTTATTCTAACTCTTAGTGTCTCCACTTTTTTCTGCAGATACATCTAGGGAGTCAAATATTAGCAATAGTGCTTGAGTCTCTTCCAAAGCATTTATCACTAAATTTATAAAGTACTTTCCCAAAAGCCCACCATAATTTAAATGAGCAATCAAATATCTTCACGAAAAACTTCTCTTTTGTTTATAGCTACAAAATGAACATGATATAGCTCAACCCAACAATGACTTTTCTGTTAAAAATATTTGATTGTTCTTTTAAATTATATTTTGCTTTCGAGAGACTTCTTTCTAATTTAGTAATGATTACTTTGGAAGAGGCCCAAACTCTATATTTTAACAAAATATTACATTGAGGTAATTCTTTAATTAATATTTATTATTTAACATTATTTTTTCATGTTGCTATTTGCTACTTTTGTATTCTATTTTAGAATGGACTTCAAAAGGACAATTTAATTGACCCTAATTATTGTTCAATACCTGCCTAGCCACACATTAAATTTTTCTTTGATTTATACTCTTACTAATATTATGCAGGTAAATGAAGTGAAATCTAATCTTAATAAGATTGGATATGACGTTAATTTAATCCATGGGATGATATCCAACTTGGTAAGCTATCACAACATGATTGTTTAAATATGATATAATTTTCTTTTTGCTATATTTTTATCTCACAATAATTCTTTCCAAATATCTTTATGAATGTAGGAAGCTTTTTATGATTACAATGGACCATTTAATAGATGATCAAGTCATAACAAGAGGAAAACTTAACTAATCATCGTCATACCAGTTTGAAGACAACATCAATGCCACAACATAAAAGTTTTATTTGCTCGTTTTGTCCTTTCCATCTAAATGATTCTACTACAACCATCTCAAAAGCTTTGTTATATTTGGTAGCATTGATAACAATAATTTGTGAGGTTTTTGGCTTGCAACTTTGTTCTATTTTCAAACACTACTTGTGTGAAAACTCTTCCATGAAATTTAAGCTTAGCAACAATGTATAATAAGCTTCATAATACTTTAGCTTCTAACTTGATTATGAATATAACGAGTGCAGCTTCTGAAACATATAGATCTTCCTTTGTTTGCTTCTTATACTATTTGCTTTAATCTATTAGCTAACATTTCATTATGAACCATTAACAGGATTCTTTTTCATATTGAAAAGCCCAAAGTAAACTTTGCACAATTTCATTATTCCATCAAAACTTCTCTTTCCCTTCTCAATTATCAACATTTCAAAATAAGATTTGACTATTTGTGTCTAAAAAATAACCAATACCACTCTTCGCTATTACATACTCAACTATACTATAGCACGTGTGACCCACTAGCATTCCTTTAAAAGAATGAAACTTTCCTTCAGTATTCATTTCTGTATCTTTTTTTCACATGCAAGTGGT